GCAAGAATACCTGCAGGCATTGTCGACGAGGATGGGACTGTCTGCTTTCGCAAAACAAGCAATGGCAACGACTCTCAGTGCTCTCGACTTCCAAACAGGAAGGCAGCAGGCTCTCAGTCTAGGGCTGAGAACTTAACCAAAGTTGGAATTTTCTCATCTTCGGATTCTTCGCCCCCCATGAGCAAGTCTGAGATGTCAAGTTATGTCCTTGGTAATCGTGGGGCGTGCATTTCACCAACGAGAGATCACATCTGGACCGTCGGAGACACACTTCAGGCCGACGAGTGGGAAGGCGGTCGCAGCAGCTATCAGAGAACACTTGAGAGCAAGAGGTTGTTGAGTCTCGGTGCAGTCCCGTTTGCATTGTCGTTGGCGATCTTTGGACGCCGCCACGGCAGCCGAAATCAATCTGCGGCGGATTCCGCAGTTGCCACTGCCGCCGCAAACATTGCGAACATTTGTGCGGACCCCTGCCGTGCAGAGGAGGAACTTGCCGATGCCATTGTGACGGTGGCACTGGATCAGCATGGTCAGCTTGTATCGATGTTCAAGGCTGGGGGCCTCTCCATCTCCACTGCCATAATCCAGGTGAGTGCCCTCTGTAGAGATAAAAGGGGACAGAAAAAGAGAATATCATTCAGTGACTGTACTTTTCTCTTGAGTCTTGACCCCTCAAATAATCTCATCACTGCATTTCACCTTCAGCCGCTCAACTATAAATCGTTTCGTACACAAGAATTATACCATAGTTGCAGCGGACCCGGACCCGGACCCGGACCCGGACCCGGACCCAACCGGACATGGGCCTGGACGTGCGTACATACCTGTCCATACGTCTGGAGCTCCGAACAAGGACCGGACACCCCGGACACACTGGACCCGGATGGTCTGGAGAAGCGCGAAAAAAAAAAAAAAAAAAGGGGCAGTGTGTCCGGGGTCTGGGTACGCGGTGCAGAGGGTAACGAGGTGTACAGAGAGGGTGGTGTCATTCCCGCTACGGCACGAACAGGAAAAGAAGAAGCCTCGCCTGACCTGCAGATCAAATCTGTTTGAGTCTGACTGTTTGAGTCACCGTATGAACTGCTCATTTGTACAATCAACATTCAGATATATGAGACGTTGTTGTAGAAGTCTACAACGAGATGGACATGACTTGTTCAACACCGTTTAAGATACCCGCAGTGCAGAACTCTCTACGAAGACTGAAGCTCATCGTGAAAGTGGATCACCTCGCTGGGAAAATAGCCAACCCTTATTTGAACATGAGATGCTAGTGGGGTATTTGCCTGGACACGTCTGCGATTGCCGTCACCGCCATGAATTTCCCACCTTTTTTTTTTTTTTTTTTTTTTTTTTTTTTTTGTCTGTTGACACTGTTGTTGTTGTTGTTCTTCTTCTTCTTCTTCTTCTTCTTCTTCTTCTTCTTCTTCATTGTGTGTGTAAATTTGGCTGCGCGCTAACCTTGCATGCGTCATTCAGGATTGCATCGAGGCGACAAAGTTGAGAGTGAAAAAACTGCGTAGTCTGCTCTGCAAAGCTGTAGACAAGGGTGCCACTTCTGACGCACAGGAGCCTGTGAAGATGGAGGAAATGTGACTTCAACAAGCATGACCGGAAAGCCTCAACGACGGCACGCCGGACATACGAAGCATAGAAGATGGAATGATGATACAGTCCGATTGTCAAAGGTTAAAAAAAAAAAAGAAGAAGAAAATGGAGAGTTCAATAATATGAATAGAAAGGCTACGCAGCAGCGTAGGTTCTGCGAGTTATCACTACGCAGCAGCGTAGGTTCTGCGAGTTATCAGTTGTTCAGATTCTCATCACTGGTCAACTCTTCATAAATCTGGTCACCTCTTTAGGAAGAATTGGAGACTCAGAATAGCGTTGCCGAGTTTATGTGACTGTTTGTCTGTGTGTGTGTGTGTGTGTGTGTGTGTG